TTTAAGAGTTTTAAGAGTTTTTAAGAGTTTTAAGAGTTTTTAAGAGTTTTTAAGAGTTTTAGCCAAATGCTTTATAATATAGTATAAATTATAATAAAAAGTTGAATTAAAAAACTTACACACAAAAAAAAAACCGAGAACTATTAAATAGTTAATTTAATATTAATATCGATTTTATTTTAAAAAAAATATTTTATGTTATTTTCAAATTTATATTTCATTCAAAAACAAAAACATTATCGCTTTCTTAAAACCACATAAAATCGTATTATATCGATAAAGACAAAGAATAAAAACTAAACATTAAAATGGAGATTTATCTAGCTGCATTGCGCAAGTACCCTTCTAGTATATTATAAAGCATTTGACAAAAACTCTTAAAAATCATTTTTATGCATCAAGTTATTGATGCATATTACTTAAAATTCAAGATTACAAGTAATTTGTGCGTAAGTATAACTTGTTAAGGCTTCATGTTTGAATTCGTATAACTAACTGTACATAACATAATCAAATATAAGATAAAAATTTTATTTTAAATATAAACAATCTGAAATATAATTACGATAATTATTGAGTTCTATCAAATTACTTAATTATTATCTACATAAAAAATGATATTATTAAACGAAAAATAATAAAAAAATGAATTAAAGAAATGCACGAAAAAAGAGAAATTTTAAATAGTTAGTTTTGTACTAATATCAATATTTTTTTTTTCATTTTTTTATAATATATACATATTTATATTTTATTCAAAAATAAAAACATTGTCGTTTGCTCAAAACCTTGTAAAACTGTATTATAATATTGACTGAGACAAAAAAATGAAACACTAAAATCAAGATGTATTTCGCTACATTGTATGAGTACCCTTCTAGTATATATAAACATACAGGTTGAGGTCTTTCAGTTTACGAAAACTGATAACACTCTTACCACATATGATAATACAAATTAGTGGACCTAGGTCGTGCCAAGGATCGCATGTGTATCTGATAGATTATAGTAAAGGGTGTTCTCGTGTGTTTCATAGGTGTTCTCGTTTATCTCTTTCCTATATATATATATATATATATACACACACACACACTAGGTTCTATCCCATGTATTACACAATATATATATACACACACACACATACTAGGTTCTATCCCATGTATTACACATGGTAATTTGAAAAAAATTAAATCATGTCATAAACTTATCTTACATATATGAATGATCATCGGAAGTCCGATGTTACTTTAGACTTCTACTTTTGAAATAACTCTGAAAAATAATTATTCATACTTGAATTTAGAAATTAAATATATCAATAATTACTTAAAATAAAGTTAATCCTATAATAAAATTAAATTTATAAATGAAACTACCAATAAGTAAGAGTAATAAAAGTACTGAGGGGTTTGTTTGTTTACCTCTTAATAGTCCCATTAAGAGGTGATATTTGAATCGTTAAGAGGTGAATCTTGTTCGACAAAAAAAAAAATATATGTCTTAATGGTTCTAAAACCCCCTGAATGATTTTGTATATATGGTCTCCCTTAACCATTCAACGATCTAATTTCATATTAAATAATTATCAAACAATTATATTTTATTTTGCACTATATCACGAGAACCTCTTAACCATTCCAATCACTTCATCATTTTGCACTAAACTATTCAGCAACTACTAAACAGCCCTTAAGTCCTCCAACTATTTTTCTTGAGTTAATGTCTGTTAACGTGACCTTCTGTCCCCAAGTTGCTGTAGTACTAAGAGTCAAACACAAGCTCATAAAACACAATCGTGCAACAACTGCTGATACGTTTTTGGTTGCTGGACTTTTGTCATATAAGGTGTAACATCTCTGTTTCACAAAACAAGTAAAAGAACAATTTGATGGAAAAATATGGAGCTGTCTTGGTCGTTATCAATGAAGATAATTTTATTAACATCACATAAAATAACGTGATTAATATGATTACGAGTAATACAAAATACACAATCGATAACATTTTAGCTCAACCGATGATAAGACTTAAACCTTTCAGATTCTTATCAGAAGTCATAGGTTCAAGTTCCGCAAGACCACTAAAAACTTCTCTGGCTATTCTCCAGGACCGCTAGGATTAGTCGTGATGTGAGTAAACAGGCCCAAGACACTTACTGTCTGCTGCTGATTCAACACACTGCTACTATATTGTGCGAGTAGATACTGTTATTGTCTCTCGAACCATAAACACCCACGGGTAAAAAAAGGATAATGATTTTTATTGAATATTTAATAAAAATGTAAAAACACAATAATGCAAGAAAATAAACCAAAAGCCCTAACAAATCACAATCTAATAAACATCCTTATCTCATAAGAATAAACACCTTATAAAAATGCCAAAGAGCAAAAAAGGCAAGGGCAAAACCGTCTTTTCCTAAACCTCACCTTGGGTCCTCCCTAACTCAGCCCCGGTCGTGTACAGTCTTCAATAACACTAGTTTAATAACTCTAAACTCAACTCACAGCCCGTGACGTAATTCCCGTCACAAACCAATAAAGGACACACACGTGTTCCTATCATTGGATCACAGACAACCGGTGACCTAGCCAACCATTCAACCCGCCGTCAGTTTATCATGAATGACAGAAATTAGAAGGGAGGAAAATGTATTATTGAGAGAGAGAGGGAGGCTTTGGGTTGTGTTCGGAGGCAAAAGGAACGGTTTGGTCACTTCAATTTTCCGAATTTCTCCTTTCGTTTTAGAGAGAGAAAGTGTGCGAAGAAGAGAGAGAAAACAAAGACCTTCAATCTGTAAATGAAGCGATTTGCTGTTGTTGATGTTGTTGCTGATGACGACGATGATGCTTGTTAATGGAAGAATGAATCTGAAACAGGAACCGGTTTTGTTGTTGTTGATTGATGGAATTAACTGAGGATTTGGAGGCGGCGATCTTGAGGAAATAATAATTGGATAAACGATCGGGTGATGCTGTTGTTGATTTGATTTTAGTTTGGATTCAGTTGATTGATTTGCGGTTTAATTTATTTTAAAAGAAAAAAAAGGAGGAGAGATGAACGGTGGCGATGGAGGAGATGTTGCGGCAGCTCCAGCGGGTCCACCACCTCCGCTTGACTGGAAATTCTCTCAGGTATTTGGTGAACGCACCGCCGGTGAAGAAGTCCAGGAAGGTAAACTAGCTTCAATGAAAATTATCGATTCGATAAATTTCTCTATTAATTATATTTGTTCCATGTGGATCCGGATATTTTCGTTTTGATTAGGGTTTGGATTAACTATGCCTTTGATATTGTTCTTGGATCGGCTTATTGTTGAATCATCGGAGATTCTGGAAATGATTAGACTAGCTTTTTGTGAACAGTGGTACTTGATGCAGTTGTTGGCACAAAGCAATATAAATGACAAATTTGCACTTGTGATTTAATCAAAATACTCTCGATCAAGTATTCTGGGTTCAGTTGTGTTGTTTTTAATTAATCTGTATTGGGAGTAAGACATGAAAGGTTTCAGCATCTTCATTTCATTCCACATGTTTAAAGGCATATTGATCCCCCCCCCAAATTATTGAGAAACTATTACCTTTTGCTTGCATATAATTTATTGGGTGTGGATATTCACAGAATTTGGTAGTATTTATATATCTATATATATGGTGTAGACGGTAATGCACAATTGCACATTGCGTTTTGCTGATGTCAACTGGAGAGTTATCCACAAGTTAGGGGGTAATAGATGCATACCAGGCCATCTGCTCCTCATCTATTTCCAGAGAGAAGATTTTGAAATGCTAGAATTATTGGTTGTAAGATTTTGATAGGTGATAATACCTGATTAATTATTATATTACCTTTCCAGTGTTAATGTCAACTCGTCTAATGGTTTCTCTTTGTGCTTCTAACCCTACTACAAGTACTATGTGCTGTCTAGCTTTATTTTCCTGTGCGTAGATTTATCTGGAGGAGGAACGAGAATAACATGCTGTTACATAACTGGAGCATTTTTTACAATTAGATTCTGCAGAAATTTAGTAAAAGCTGGAAATGTTTTATCCAATTCTCTGTATTCTTCACCAATGAAATTGTTTCCACATTTGTACAGTTACCTCTTTTTGTTATTGCTACTTGTGCATGTTTCACATTCCTAAATTATAAACCTAGAATTGGTGCTTGTTATATACTGCCTTTCAATCCTTCACCAATGAAATTCTCCATGTGGGCTTATTTGGAACTTTCTGTTACCTTTTATTGTATTAGCAAACTGAAAGCATTTTTGGGCAGCGGTAACAAACAAGAAACTGACCTGAATCACTTTTTGACCCGTGTTCTGTTTTAGGGCACGCCCTTAGGTATCCTTCTGTTAAGAGACAGACTATCGATGAAAATCGGATTTGATTTTGTTACTTAGATTTAGCCGGAGCCATTGCCACCGGTGCCTCATCTCGTTCTGATATAACATGATGCCAACAATAGGATCCAGAAACTTTATTCTATTGAATAAGAAATCAAGTTATACAAGTACAAAGTCTTTAGTTCTGTCAACATTTTTATTTTAACGATAGAGTGACCACAGTTCTATGAGCACGGCTTTGAGCTCTGTTCAGCAGACATCCGTAGTGAACTATCCATTGATGGATATCTTTTGCATGGTTAAGATGTATGATTATTAGTTTCTGAAGTTTCTAAGACGCTGGAAAAAGATTGCATGCCTTTTCTATTGTGGTTTTTGATAGTTATGGAATGTTAATGTTACTTTAGAGGCTTTCTGTCAGTTATACACCTTATTGGTGATATGTTAAGGTGTTCGTTTACAGTATCATATAAGTACCGAGATTTGCAATCATGTAACAGCTATCACATTTCTTTGTTTCTATTATATTTAGAACTGGATTTCTACTACCAAAAGCTTTTTTTAGACCAATCACTATCGTTTGGTTATGGATAATTTGAATGAAACGTGCAAGTCCTGCTGGCTAGCCTGTTCATGATTCCCCCACTCTTCACTGTATGTAATTCATTAGAAAAATCTGCAGGGTTATTGTGGTATGAGGCACATTATAAAAATAAATCTTATAAAGGCTATTTAAAAAGCTTTTGTTTGGACTTGCTGGCTTTGGAATGTTGGAACTATAGTGAAGTATCTATGTCTTCCCCTCCTTTTGCCACCAGCTTTTGTGCTATTTGTATAAAGATTAACATGCAGCATTGTTCCACTTGTTTAACATTATATCATAGTACACTGATGAATTTATCATTTTCCACAGTTGATATCATTTCTGCTATTGAGTTTGATAAAAGTGGTGATCATCTTGCCACTGGTGATCGTGGGGGCAGGGTAGTATTATTTGAGAGGACTGATAAGAAGGAGGTTGGTTGAATTTGATTATGTTTTATTTAAATCCTTATTTTGGTGCTGCATGTTTGTTTTCATTTATCTTTACTTGAAGTTCATATTGTTACTCGAAAACATTTCAATGCTTGATTGTGTTTTGTGTAGAATGGTGGAAATAGAAAGGATTTAGAGAAAACTGATTACTCAATTAGTAGGCATCCGGAATTCCGCTACAAAACCGAGTTCCAGAGCCATGAACCCGAGGTTTTCTTTTATTTCTTTTGTCTTTGACTTGCCCTTTCATCAATTATTATTCTTATCTATTCTTCTCTACCCCAGACGATCTCCAATGGTTTATTTATTTGTTTCCAACTTTTGCTCTTAGTTTGATTATTTAAAGAGTTTGGAGATCGAGGAGAAAATTAACAAAATCAGATGGTGCCAGACAGCCAATGGTGCCCTCTTTCTTCTGTCTACTAATGATAAAACCATTAAATTCTGGAAGGTAGCCACTGAAACTCCTTTCATTTTACTTGCATTCTTTCTGGTGATAAACCCATATATATCTGCTTTTTGGAAACCCATTTGTTTTATTATTACAGAAGTTATGTGCCTTCCTAATAGTTTTGTTTGATAGCATGTTGGTGGATGTGATGTATATCAATATTTTTGTAATTAATGTAGGCATAAGCAGTGTATTTATTCTTTTTTCTTACTTCTCATTTCAATTCAATATAGATTCTCTTCATTTTCACTGTGTCTACTCATTTAATAATGTTCTTAACTTATGATCACGGAAGGTGTCAACTTAGGTCTTGATTGAAGGACAAATACAGAGCTTTGAACATGTCACTTAACACTCACAAAATGGAATTGAATCTACAGCATGGGTGCATGACCATAAGAATAGTTTTACATATGTTTCCTCTTTTAAGTATATATAAAGCACACTGCTTGTTATATACTATATTCATTTGTATTAAGAAAGAAGTTCTCCTTTTCCATCAGTTCTAGCTATAATATTTCAGATGATATTAATCTATTATCTGATGGTAGTAAATCTCTTTAGATGACATAAAAATGTGCGTTTGCTTCATGGTGGCAAATCATTAGGTTCAGGACCTCCTCCATTTATGTTTAGATGTCTATGGCTAATAATTCCCTTATTTCAGAAAAAAATATGTTGATATATGCTCAACTGAGAATCTTTGTAGTTATTTTATTAAGCTTGGAGCTTCCCTCACCTGCAATATGTGGAAGGTGGGTTGCAATAGACACACAGTTCTCCCAGGTGAACATGAAGATCTTGGTGTTCTGCAACTGTGTCTCACTGCAGCATTTCAGTTTTAAGTGTTATAATTGTGTAGAGAAGTTCAGACTGTAACATTGTGGATAGGCTGAGAGACTAGAAGACTGTTTGAGTATGTCATGTATTTGCTTATTTACTTTTCATGTCACTTTATCATAATAAGTTTAGAGGGTTTTTATTAGTTAGGTTTTACTTAAGTAGACTGTGTCAGATAGTCATACAAGATTTTGAGATAATATTTCTTAGAAGTGATGTGCATAGTTGGCCGTTGGGTTTCTAGACCTGATGCTGGCTTTAGTTATTTGCTTTCGCTAAGGTGTCGAGATGACATTCTATTGATGTGTTTACAATATTGGGTATAAATAAGGTCAGCATTTAGTTGAAAAAGCTTATGTTCTTGGCTGACATACTGAAATTGGAAACTTTCAATTGATTTGTGTCTGACCCAGGTTTAGCTTTTCCTTCTTCCCTTCCCTTTGCTTTCTTTTCCTTCTTCCCTTCCCTTTGCTTTCTTTCCTTCTTATTTACATTTGCATTATTATTTTCAGGCAATTCAAGTTTTATGTCTATCTGGTATGTCTGTCTTGTTAAAGCATTAAACACTTGTTTCAACTTACACAGGTCCAAGAGAAGAAGATAAAAAAAATTGCAGACATGAGCATGGAGCCTTCCAAAGCCACTGGAAATGGCAATGTTGCTAGTCCAAGTGTTACTTCCTCCACCCCTAAGCCGCAACTTGCAAATGGCGGATACACAGATAAATCTTACACTAGTTTAAGCAATGAATTGTTATTTCCTCCCAGGGGCATTTCATCACTTCGTTTACCTGTGGTAGTTGTACCTATACCCTATATGTTTGTACTCTCTTCTTTTTGATTGTAGAAGTCATTGTTCTCCGACTCATTTCTTGTCTTTCATTTACAACCTGTAACCTTATCAGTACATAAATGTTAGTGAAAGCGTACTAGATATGCAGTATACATAGCTACTACCTGTAAAAAGGTGTATGTCTCGTCTCACTCATGGTCATTGAGCATGAGCATGGTTCCTGATGAACATGCTGTAGAAAAATCTTTTCTACATTTAGGTGACCAAAGCATTTGTATGGGTCCCTTTAAATGGCATGAATGTTTACCTTGTAACGAGATTCGTAAATGAGGGCATGCATGTGCCTAGAAACACCAGTTAGATGATGATTAAAAGAACGAGCATGTAGATGGTTCTCGATGAACATGCTGTATAACAATCTTCTTCACATTAAGTTCACCAAAGCATTTGTCTGATCTCTATAAATGGCATGAATACTGTTTCCAGTTACCTTATACGTGACCTGTAAATGAGGGTATGCATGTGCCTAGGAACACCAGTTATATACTGATTAAAACACTGAATTTCTCTAGTTAAAATCACTTTGGAAATGTTCCTTTACTAGTACTATAAGTTGAAATTAACAACTTCAGATAAGCTTCTACAGTCGCAATCTGTCTTTATTTGTCATCATGTCATTGTTATTTTTCGCTCCTGTTATTTGCTTTGGTTTTTTCAACAGTGTAACACCAAAGGTAAAATTGTAGGTAACTAGCAACGAGACCAACCTTGTTGCAAGATGTAGAAGAGTGTATGCTCATGCACATGACTATCATATCAATTCTATCTCTAATAACAGGTAGGCCTTCAGTTCTTGCAAGTGTTTATTATTTAACTTCACTTGCATAAACTTGTTTAGTTACCAATGCCGAGCTCTTGATCAACATGCGCCTTGAACAGGTGCTATTGTGTCCACACATCACTTTTACAGAGTCTTTCTTGAAGCGAAGTTAGTCTACGTGTCACCATATCAGTGCACCTAGTTCTTGTCGCTGTTGTTATTTTGATATTGCGATTGAATGAACATTTTAGTTACAGTTCTTAAATTAGTTGTGTTCTCTTTATCTGCAGTTTCCTCGAGGCTTCTTAATAATTTTATGTTAGTTGCATAAGTTGGTGTGGGAATCAGATCTTTCCTCTTATGTGTTATCAATAAACTTAGATATATGATATATCACATCTATTCTTGGCAAAATATCAATCATGTATTAGCACTACTGTTACTCCTCCTGTCCCCACCTTCACTGCAAATATGTGGTCTGTTCATGGTGTGGTGAGATGTGGTTTCTCTTTTCAATGGTTAAGAGTCTCATCAGCTCATGCATGAACCAGTAGAGGGGCCCAGGAATGAAGGATAGAGGTGTGCCCTTGGCCCTTTATTCTTCTTCCTGCTAATCTGCATGGGTTTGTGCCATTTGCATTTTCATTTCTGTCAAATAATTACACTGGTGGATAATGTTTATTGGTCATTGTGTTGTTTTTGGTGTTGGATCTTCTTTCTAGTTAATGTGATTCACTTGTGTCTCATATTCTCATTAGGTTCTTTTAGCAGGAGTCCTGTACGTGCCTGTTCATTGATTTAGTTAACTATGAAGCACGGTGTCTAAGTTTTTTCCGTAAAAAGAAATCCTTTCATCTCACTAACAGGGAAAAAGTGTCATTTTGAGTCTCCTTACTATTTTTCTATTTATCGGTAGTCAAGCATTGTCTATGGCTTCTTGTAATTTCTTAATGTGATTGCATCACTTATCATAATCAAGAATTGTTGAGGATTCTACAAACTCTCGTCAGTAATTAAGAATTCCAGGCCTCTTGGTTTGCTAATATCCTGCCATCATGGATGCAATATAATTTGTGGTCATGCAGTGATTCATTTGGCTGTTATTTTTTGTACGACTTTGTTTCCTTAATGATCTTCTGACCACCTCCCCCCTTTCCTCTTATGCATCAGTGATGGTGAAACATTTATCTCTGCTGATGATCTACGGATAAACCTTTGGAATTTAGAAATCAGCAATCAGAGTTTCAACATCGTCGATGTCAAGCCTGCAAACATGGAAGACCTCACTGGTACAGTCTTTTAGCAGTGTTCAAATGCACAAACTCTCTATACCAACATTCATGCTAATTGATGAAACTAAACTTATTCAGCCAGTCTATATGCAAGCTATCTGAAATTGGACATTATTCTTGCAATTATGGGAAATTGAATGAACCGGAAAACCTTGTTGTCTCGTCAGTCTGCAGAAACCATTAATTCTTATTGCTGTATCGTCTTGGTAATGTAGGTTGTGTGCCTTTTTCGGTGGTAAATTGCTTCACAACACTCCATTTTAGGAGGCTGAGAAATGTTTATTAGAGCATTTAATCGTGACAATCTCCTTGTTATTTACATTAGACGGATTATTGCCTTTGTCTACAACCAATTAAAACATACTGCTTATATGTCTCTGCGACAGTATTTCGTTTTTCTTGGCATCATTCAGGTTAATATTTTGGGTTACTTGTTTGAGGATAGAAAAGTTTTTGAGGCTTAACCATGGCTCCTTTTTTGTTGCAGAGGTGATCACATCAGCTGAATTTCATCCTACCCACTGTCATACACTAGCATATAGTAGTTCAAAAGGATCTATCCGCCTTATTGACTTGCGTCAGTCTGCACTGTGTGATAAGCATTCTAAATTGTAAGTGCTTTGGGGCATTCTGCTTTTTTTTTAATTTGATTATAGTTTGGTCTTTCTGCGTCCTGCGATTGTGTATCTTTCCCCAATTACAAGACAGACCTTGGAGACCTTCTGTTACTGTTTTAAAAGATAGAAATTTTGTTTTTTGATAAGACTATTAAGAAATGAGGAAGCAATTACATTTGCTTTATACAGGTTTGAGGAACAGGAAGCACCTGGTACGAGATCATTCTTCACCGAGATAATAGCCTCTATTTCAGATATAAAGTTTGGAAGAGATGGAAGATATATACTAAGTCGTGATTACATGACCCTTAAGGTTTGCTATCCATCCCTCTCCTGCTCTATTATCTACTTTTCCATGGTATTTTAAATTTGAAGACCATTCGAATCCTCAAAATCTACGTTTGCTTTTCATCTGATTCTTCAATTAGCTGCATAATATCTAGTAATTATCACTGCATGAAGGTTATGTACTTATTAACTATCACCATCTTCAGAGGTGAATCTGATGTAACAGGATGTGGTGAAGATACTCAAATAGTTGTGGTCATGTTAAACAATATGTTATAGGGTTTGGTTCCGGTGAGAATGAAAGTTATGGTGAGAAGGGTAAGAAGGGATCTCCACCCTTGGATCTATCCTAATTGAAGAGAAGCACTAGATCAACACTAATGAGATATACTAGATCAATTCCCTTCTAAAGCGCAATTCATGGGTTGTTTTGGGATTGAAAATGATCAAGGGTCCAAATCCCTTCTTACACTTCTCACCTTAACTCCTATTCTCACATGATTCTTCGTCGTATGTTATATGTGTCAATGCATGTGCGATACTTCTTTTGTCACTATCTCAACTCAATGCTGGTTATACAGGTTGTATTCGATTTTTCTGTTATTTTGTATATGATTCCATTTTGCGCAACTTCTTTGTCTATGCTCATGCATTCTAATTTCAGACAATAGTGATTTCAAGTGGTTTCCATTCATATCACCTAGTAGAGATGTTTTTTAGAACAATCATCCCTATGGGGGCTTGGCCATGTGTGATGACTGTTTTAGCAATATGCATTACACAAATGATGCAGGACTAAATTAGGAAAACAAATGATCGTATTTTTATTTACTTTAACGGAAAGCAATCTCTAAACCGAATTATAATTGTAGTCTGGCCTATATGTATGTCCATAACCAATTATAGAGGCCATGTTCCTGATGCGGGGGAAAACACAATTGAATAACATAAACTGAAATGAAGTAAAATAAGCTAAAGATACTTGTGAATTGTGATTACCATCAATTGATAGATATATTTATACTTGTCTGTAAGTAGATGTAGGCAAGGAATATGTGAGGTACGAAAGATATAATGCGCCACAGGTGTGTCACTTTAATATGTAAAAGATGCTATGTGAGCCAAAAAAAAGCTGTTAAATAAACATGTAATAGACAACAAGTACATTATTGTTTTGATTTACTTCTATGTCTGAACGTTTCCTTCAATCAGGTTTTACTGCTCAATGATGGATTTGTTTAATATGGTTAGCTGCAACAAAACTTTTTGGGGATGACTGAATGGATAGATAATTCATCATGTAGGACACTCGACCTTGGCACTATTATCACATTTGAACCAACTGACTAATAGGGCTGTTTACAACCAAGCCCACTTTCATACGAATTCATGATGCTTTTCAGATTTTGATGTGGTTGTGCAACCCCCCCCCCCCCCCCCTTTCTTGAATCATGGCGACTATAGGTGCACTATGTCATGAATGTCCTAGATGCATATCTTGAATCCGTGAAAGTCAGGTTCCAGAAGAATGTTAGGAATTTATGACTATCTATTTCCCTCAATTTTTTTTATACATATCGTCTGTTATATTCCCTTCCTTGGTCAGTTCATCTCGTTAGGATGTGAACCCTCTAAGCTGAGAATTTTTTCATGTGCTGAATGCAATCCTTTATGTGCAATTACTTAGGGTACTCGATGCAGAATTTAAGGAGATCATTGCATCTATCTGGCATCATATTTCATATGACAGAACTCAGAAGACAAGAAAATGTCATTTTCCTTTTGTAAAAAGTCACTTATCACTCATGCTTTGTAAATGCTCTTTATGCAAGCACCTACAATCTCCATTGGAGATCTGTCGATGAAGCTTAGTATTTGGACGATTGACGACATCCCAACATGTCTCTTTCTTGTAGTCTCAACCTCGTAGGTTTTTCCCCACATCTATCCTTGTGAAATTAAATTATAGGCACAGTAACGTAAGATAAAGGCAGCAGACTAGGGGCGGGATTCTGTACTTAGCCTAGATGAAGAGAAGGGATCTTGAGAGTTAACGGATGTGGGTAGGGTTAGTGAGCTAATTAGATCTTTTGAGCCCTAGGATAGACTAGGGGTGTGTAGCTATTCGTACCGTGGTTATGTTTTCTTGTACCTGTTTTTGTTTATATGTTTTGTTTGTTGCTTACTTCCAACTCATTTCCAATTTTTAGCACTGCCTTTTGTATTTTTAGGTCTGCGTTCCCACTCACCCCCCCCCCCCCCCCCCCCCCCCGGGGACCCCGGGGGGACCCTACCTTCGGGTGGATCTACTAGGTTTTTGGGTTTATTAATGTAAAAGATGAAGCTAAGCATCTAGATGTGGATGGTGGTTATCCTCTGATGTGCCATGGAAACACACCATCCAAATTGACAAGAAAGATGTTGTACATCATGATATTTGTAACTCAAATAGTTTCCTCCAAGCTGCATTTCTCACTTCATATACGTACACACAGATTGTATCATAGAAAATACACGTGATTGGCACATTCTAAAAAGATGCATGTCTTGCTTGCCCCTGCCCCTTAGGCCCTTACTGTTTTTTTGTATTTTCTTTCTAATTATATTTATATTCAAATTATGGCACGTGTTTGTGTATTTGCTATTTACTGAAATCCTAGCTGCATTGTGCAGTTATGGGACATCAACATGGACTCTGGTCCAGTCTCAACGTTTCAGGTCCATGAATATTTAAGACCTAAGGTATACCTCCTTTTTTCCAAATTTTTTATTAAATAAAAAATTGCTGCCAATTTTCCTTCAGCACTGAGATCGCTGATGATATACAATTCTATTATTTTCAGCTGTGTGATTTATATGAAAATGATTCTATTTTTGATAAATTTGAGTGCTGTCTGAGTGGTGATGGACAGCGCGTCTCAACTGGTTCTTACAGGTAACATCTTTATCAGATTTATCATAATTCTTGTTGCTACGGGCATCCACTCACTCATCAAATCAATATGATTTCAGCAATTTATTCCGAGTGTTTGGCTGCCATTCGGGCAGTACTGAAGCAACTACCCTGGAAGCTAGCAAGAACCCAATGAGGTGTGTTTCTCTAACCATAGCTGAGGGGTGTAAATGATTCGAGCTTTTAGCGAGCTACTCGAGCTCGAGCTTAATAATTCTCGAACTTGAGTAGCTGTCGAACACAAAATAAAACTCGCTTAACTTAACGAGCCAAGCTTCATACAACAATGTTCCACTCAGCTCCTGCAGAAACTCGATTAAATTTTTCGAGTCGAGCCAAACCGAGCAGTCTCATTCGAGCATACACTTTTTTGAGACAAACAAGCCCATATGTTCATAAATCATTAATCATACCATAAAAAAAAATCGTCGACCTCGAACCAATAAACGAGCTATTTGATCTCGAGTTCGAGCTCGAGCCCTCATCTGAAAAAGTTGTTCGAGCTCGAGCCTGGTATTACTTTTCCGAGCCAGGATTGAATAACCTACTATTTGACTCAGCTAGGTTCGTTTACACCCCTACCTTGGATTTACTTTGAATAAATATTTGGGAAAAGGCAGCTGTGCTTGCTGTGTTCCTGTGTACATGACCCAAAATGACATCGTTTTGTTTTTTTTTCCCTTTATGTGTGCATGTATGGCAGCTGTGCACATTCCCGATATATTATTACAATTCTCTTATATTTTCTCTTACAGATAATTATTCATTTAAATGCAAATTTGGATGACAAATATGTGTTCACCTTGTAGGAGGCAAGTTCAGACCCCCTTAAGGCCAAGATCCCTAAGCAGCATAACCCGAGCGGTTAGACGAGGTCAGCCATCTCTTCTTTCACATTCTATGATCATAACCACATCATATTTTGGTTCTGATAGTTAGGGGCTATGTTTGGCTGAGAGCATCTCCAACAGATTCTCTAAATTAGAGAAAACGGAGATTTTGCTCCAACAGATTTTTTTATACCGTTCTCCAAAATAGAGAAAACAATAGAAAACTCCAAGTTTAGAAAATTCTTTAAATAAAACTTAAAGTGAGGAGAGAGAAATATATATTTTTTTTCATTCCCACCAATGAAATTGAGTTATTATTGTTTTATGTAAATGTTTTTCTATAATAAGTGTATTGTGATGATAAAATTATAGAATATTTTAATAATATAATTAATGTTGAAATCTCTAACATAGGAATCTATTGGAGTTATTTAGAGATTTTAATAACTTTTGGTTCTCTATTATAGAGAAATTATAGAGAATCTGTTGGAGGTGCTCTGATAAGCTAACCGTTGGCCGATAAACTAGTATGTTTGGTAAAAACTAGCTGATAATCTTAGATGACCAAAAAGAATATGTTGAAAAAAAAAATATAACGGGTGTAATTGGAAAACAGTGGGAAAAAAAGCTTGTTGAAATCTACTTGAAGTAGCGTTTCAAAAAGCTATCTTATATTTGACCAAACTGGGTTTTTTTTCCTAAAAACCCAAAAAATAAGCTAGTTTATGTTGCCAAACATGGTCTTACCACCCCTCCCCAAAAAAACCTATGAAATGTTTGCCTTGGCACCAAAAGTTTGGTTATTAGTCTGAATTCTGAAATATTCTAAAGTAAAATAAAATACAAGAATTTACCATTATTTTGTAGTAATCGTTGATGTGCAAAAAGGCATGTGGATTGAAACTTGCCTTGAAAAAATGAAAATTTGAATCTACGTACAGGAGGAGATAGCCCAGGAGTAGATGCAAATGGGAACTCATTCGATTTCACAACGAAGTTGCTCCATCTAGCATGGCATCCGACCGAAAACTCAATTGCTTGTGCTGCTGCAAACAGCTTGTACATGTATTACGCATGAAAACACCAACGTGACGATCACTAACAAATTTTTGATCGCCAAAACCCACCAATCGTATCGCTCAGGTCTCGAGATCCCAAAATCCAAAAAAAAAAAGACGACCTTTTTTTGCAGGTGGCAATTTGCTTTTCTTTTAGTCCCGGTTTTTCTGCTTCACCCTCGATTCGTTTTATTTTAATTTTATTTTTTAACGTTGAAGGACTGTTTTGGTTTTAAATGTTGTTGTTGGGAGGGTTGAAGGGGAGGAGAACCGATGGATGGATGGATGGATGTTTAGCCTTTTTCTTTTAGGTGTAGTATTAGTTTGGGAAGGAGCCTCTGCTGCTAACTTTGCAGGCCATCATCAAGTTTTTACATTTTTACCTGTTTGATACCATTAAAATTTCTCTTTCAAATTCTTTAGACCTAAAATCATTTTAGTTTTTTTCTTTTTTTCTCTGTTTTGTAAAAGCAAATTCTCAAGGGATGTTAGTTTTTATCATTGCATTTTGATCATATATTTGCATTCACTTCGTTTATTTCTTTTGAAATTTGGAATATAAGTTCGTGAATAAAATGATTAGCAATGGGTAGAGATGCACAGCGCCATTCAATCCCAGGGGTCGTTTACCAAAAGTAAGTGCTTATCAAGTTACATTGCCTTACTGGATGAATATGGTAAAGACCAAGAATCTTACCCGGTAAGAGCAACACAAGGACCAAGAGTCTTATACGATAAGTGAGAGCGACGACCCTCACCGGATAAAATGTTACATACGATGTCGTTTTTGTAGGTTAAAATCTTACCCGGTAAGTGAATGATAGTATTAAGTTTTATCGGGTAAGCGTTTAGTAAACGACCCTAAGAAAGAGAATGTCCGGGTTTTTGTAGGTCTTCGGATTGAAAGAGGGGTTGATTGGGTTTTTTCATGCTTGTCCTAAAAATTTCAGCCTGATTTACTTTGATGCTTGGCCTGGACCGGGCTTTGGGCTCATTAGATCCGGTTAGGCTTCTAGCTTGAACTTCTTTAGTTGTGGAAGATTGAGGTTAAATATTGTAAAAAGGCAAGAAATGAAAATTAAGAGGATTCATATGTGAACCATTAAAAAAATTATATTTAAAGATGCATATATGAACATATTCATATATATGCTTCCGAGTAAATTTTTTCAGTGATTCATATGAATCTCTTTAACTTCTCCTTTTTACTACCTCACAACATTTGTTGGGGGATTTGGCCTTTTTAGGTGTAGTTTTAGTTGGAGAAAGTTTTGGGTATCTGTTGGACCAAAAATCTTTAAAATTTCTAGTGGAGATGTTCTAACGAGTCGAGTCAAATTGCAGGTTATTTGAGATTGACTTGAAAAAATATTGCCTTAGCTTGAGCTCGGTCTCGGATTTTTTTTAATCACATTTTGATACTTGTTTATAGGCTTGAATTCGAGATCTGTCGACATACTTATTGGCTTGACCATAATAGTTTTTGTACTTCGATTATATGAGTAATAAACACGTTTAGTTTAAAAAAGTCTATGTTCAAATGGGTCAGCTCATCTCAAAAAATATATTCAAGCTTTTGAACAAGTTGAGTTGAACGTTGGTATTATGAATCTCGACTCGTTAAGTTAAACGGTTTTAGCATGTGTTCAAGATCGACTTGAGTAACTCGTTAAAAGCTCGACTTATTAACACCCTAGGTTCAAATAATAAGATTAAATATCGTGATAAAGTTAAAAAAAAAAAAAAAAGCGAATGCTCATAGGAATTTGGTTTAAAAAATGATTAAAAAGTGAATTTGGTTAGAAATATCAATATATAATTTTACTGATATAGAAAATGGTTTATTCAGTAAGGTTTTAGGAAGAATCTCTATGCAAAAAACCAAGTTTTTTATATCCAAACTTGTCACTCTCAATTAAAAACAACACTCATTTCATCTGTGAAGCAAACTTTCTCACACAAAAACATTTTCGATCTATATAACATATTCATCCACACAAAATAGCTTTACTCATACTCGAAAAACCAACCAAACAACCCCTAAATGAGATTTATTAATATACTGGCAGATCAGTAGGTCAATAATACCCCTAAATAGATGTAGACATTGATGAAGATACTTAAATGATTATTTTGAAAGTTGGTTCCTTAAAATAGAAAAGACAACAAAGTTTGCTCCATTTTAATTCTATTTGTTGGAGTTGGATGTTATTTTTCAGTTATCTACCTTAAAGAACATGTTGGCAATCTATTCTGATAAGGAATTAAATACTCCATCGATGCCAAAATAAATGTTCACAATGAAAATAACAAACAATTTATAAATATATAATTATTACACTGTTTAATTAAGAAAAATACAATTTTACCCTCAATAAAGATGAATTTTCTTCTCCTCATTATTAATGTTGTGTTCTCAAATTGTGAAAGAAAAAAAAGGAAAAAAAATGAAATTATTTTATTATGTTCTTGAGACAGAAAGGAAACAAAAAAAAAGCAATGAAAGAAAATGAATTTTCATGTACTTCAGTGGAAAACAAAGGAAATGAAATATGTCATTTTTACAAAAATACCCCTATTTATTTTATAGTTGAATGTAATTGATTGGTATATGTATAATTTTATAAATTTTTTATTTTCTCCTCCCTCATTTGCAAGGAAAATGAACAACAAAAGGCGAGTAATCAAGTCCGACAACGGGTTTTCCAATCCCCGACATCGTGGTTCGTAGCCACGTGCTCTGATCCTCTGAGCTACAGGCCCCACTCTGTCTTCACTGTATCTGTTTACAGGAGTTCCCTCAAGAAATTGAACATTTGCTCTCCCAGACATTTTTGGGTTAAGAAGATGTCAAAGCGCATTTATCTCTGTAAGAACGACAAGTTCTGAGGTGTGAAGATCTTATGAAAATGGAGCATTTTCGTATAGAAGATGTAAAACAAATTTTAGAAGAAAAATCAAACATTATTTATTCCCTTATTATTCCCTTTTTCTCCTTTAAAAAACTCAGATTTTTTTCCTCTTACTTTCCTTCTCTTTCTTTTTGTCTTTCTTAAAAAAAACGCTATAACACAATTTGTAAGGATATAATGAAATGTAAAAATATAAAGCATAAGGGTGGTGCCTGATTTGTTTGAGTTTGAGCTTTAAAGATCAAAAGTGTTTGGAGGTCTCAGGTTCAAATCCAAGAAGGAATAAAAATCCTTTTGTAAACACGAAAGTTCAAATGCGATTACTCTAGACTACCCGTAAAGCAGGTGGTCGTCCTGAGATTCAGTGACGGATCCAGGAAATTAACGGGGTGGGGACACGTTGGATGAGACTTGGGAGAGGCAAGCATATGGCCATATGGGACTAGAGGAAAACCATGTAAAACGAAAGTAAAAATTGAAAATTTAAGCTAGTCAACAAACGTTTTTGGTGTTTGACTGAGAGTCTTTTCCCTAGTCCTTAAGGGCTAAATCCGTCTCTGTTAAGATTAGTCGGCTCACATAACGACGGGTTGAATATTCAGGTTAATAAAAAATGTAAAAATATACTTTTAAAAAATGAACATTTATTTTAAAATAAATAAAAATAAAAATAATTATTTTAAAATGAATAAAATAAGAATCGACATACGCATATCAAGGATTTGGCAGCATCAATGAAATAGTGGGACCCATCTATTCCTTTTTAGGCAAGCTTCATTCATTTCACCCATTTCCACTCCTCCACTCCAGTGGTGGGTCCCACTTTTGTTCTTCACGCCCCCACAAAACAATGCTTTTGTGGGACCCATAGAAAATTAAGTAAAAGACCGCATGTCCGACAAACATGCCAAAAACCGCTTCATATTAAAACATCGTTTATTTCATTGATTTTGTAATCTTTATATACGTATATCTATACTATATTATAAAATATTTGATAAAAAATTTTAAAAATCATTTTATATGCATGAAGTATTGTATATTGATGTATATTACTTAAACTTAAAGATTACAAATAAATTATGTATAAGTACAACTTATTAACGTTCTATGTTTGAATTCGTGTAACTAACTATGGATAAACATAATCAAATAAAAGATACACATCTCATTTTAAAATATAATTAAGATAATTATCGAGTTCTAACAGAATCATCATCTTTATAAAAAAATTATTGTTAAGATCCTTTTGGGACCATTGCAAGATGCAACGACTGAAGAATCGAAAATAGGATATGAAGGTCAAAAAAATCAGATAAAGAGCTAAAAAACAATATCCTAAAAATTGTGATCTCACAGAAAAATACGATAAGCTGATTTGAAAATCTGGTATGAAACAGTAATCAAATATTCTCGAGAAATAAAATTCTTTCGGGACCAGGTTGATTGGACAATTCGTCAACATAAAGGTAAGGTCAAAGCGTGTCATTTTTTAGTACGGGTCAAGTCGTGTCGGATTTGTTTTACTTGCCTCGCATTTTGTTTATAGTTTATTTTTTGAAATTTTGTAGATAATTAATATATTAAATATGAATGAAAATTATAATAAAAGAACAATATGATTTATTTAAGAACAAATTGTATGAAAAAGTAATATACTTTAACTTGATTATTACTTTAGGTAACATATTTCACAGCAAAACGCTGTGATATGGTAACATTCACGGTGTTTTTGCTCTGAATGTTTTTTTTTACCTTCACAGCGTTTTACTATGAAGTTTCAAGTGTAAAAAAGTGGTCTCACGAAAACAGGCCGTTCTATTGTAAATACGAACTCTCATATACATAATATATATATATACATATCATATACATAAATAATATATATATATATATATATATATATTATATACATAAATCTATACTATATTATAAATATTTGACAAAAACTCTTAAAAAACATTTTTTATACATAAAGTATTGTATATTGATGCATATTATTTAAAATTCAAGATTACAAGTAAATTATGTATAAATACCACTTATTAAAGTTTGATGTTTGAATTTGTATAATTAATTGCAGATAAAATTAAATGAAGGAAAAATATAAAAAATCTAAAATATAATTAGGATAATTATCGAATTCTAACAAAATAATTAATTATTATTTTTATAAGAAAATTATATTATTAAAAATCAAATATAAATTATTTCGTTATTGTACATAAATTAAATTATAATTAAAAATTTTGAATTAAAAAATTACATAAAAAATGCGAAATTTTAAATAGTTAATTTGATATTAACATCGATATATTTTTGTCAAATTTTTTATGATATTTTAGATTTATCTTTTATTTAAAAATAAAAACATCATCGTTTTTACAAAATCATTTAAGACCATATTATAATATTGACTGAGATAAATAATAAAATAAAATATTAAAATTAAAATATATCTCATTGAATACGTGGTTATCAGTTTTTTATTAATTTTCCAAACAAATTTAATATTTTCAATCAACTGGAGGAAGATTATGGGACAAAGCTTAGAAAGACCCAACAAAAATTCCAACTCGAAAGAGACCACTGTTTGATAACACACACAGTTGTGAATGGTGGTCGTCATTTTCACGCAGACTACCCTCCATTGATGATCATCCATTCACACTCATCTTTCCTCGATCCATCCATATTTCTTCATCTCTCTTTCTGATTTTGTGTCAACGAGGTACAGATCCATGGAGATCATCAGCTTTTTTGTTGTTTTTGCTTCGAAGAGCATTAAAAAAGCTTGAATCACTTGTCTTTTCGTCATTGTTGATCTTCTCTCTGATCTCGTCTTAAGACGCCATTGGAGCTCGATTTAGAGAGAGGAAATTGATCGAACGAGTTCGAATTCGAGAAGGAAAAATGCAACGAGATGATTCATCGACGTATTCTACCTCAACGATGAATATGAACCCTAAATTTCCTGATCAGCAAGAGCATCTGAAATGTCCACGATGCGATTCGATCAACACGAAGTTTTGTTACTATAACAACTATAATCTGTCACAGCCTCGCCATTTCTGTAAGAATTGCCGGCGATATTGGACCAAAGGCGGTACGCTTCGTAACATTCCGATCGGCGGCGGAACACGGAAGAACACTAAACGCTCCTTGAACTCAAACAAACGCGGCGGTGCTCATTCTTCTTCTTCTTCCTCCACTTCTCCGGCGGTGCTGGCGCCACCAGTAGCACAACCGAAACCGGAAGTTTCAGGGATGTACGGCCGGTATGGTGATGATCGGATGGACGGAGGCGGTGGAAGTTTCAGCTCGCTGTTGGGATCGCCTCCTGGAGGACAGTTTGCGAAATTATTGATGGATGGTCTGAGTCCGAATCTGGTGGATGGATCCGTTGAAGATGGTTTGATCCGAAATCCATCTGCAGAGGAATTTGAGAGTAATTTCTTGAGGATGAACCATAAAACCAGTAATCAAATTGAAGGTGCAGGAGGAGGAGAATCAAGCTACTATAATCAGAGAGATAATGGATGGCCTGATCTTTCCATTTACACACCAGGTTCGAACTTCCATTAGATCATATATAATCTTCACCCAAATTAATATATATATATATATATATATATATATATATATAGATAGAGAGAGATAGGAAACGATGACTGTTTCCATCATTGTTTTGGTTTTAGTTGGCATGAATCTTGACGTCGTAGTTTGTGAAATCCGAGTGATTTTTGAAGAAGGGGTTGTTTCTTAACCTCTTAATACTTCTATTAAGAAGCAGTATCTGAATCGTTAAGAAGTGAATCTTGTTTGACAAAAAAAAAATTTGAAAATTTGTTTCTCAAACAACAATTATCTATAAAAATTTAGTACTTTAGTTGACAATTGGAGTGTCCTCTTCCCATTGTTTCCTTTTGTAATGTGTCACTATGTGTTCTTGGAGAGAATTTATTTACTTTTTCTATTTATACACAAACGGTTTATTGGATAAAGATCATTTACTAAATGTTTACCGGGTAATTACTTACCGGATGTTATTTACTGTACTCTTGAGTACGGTAAGAACAAGAAAATTTTACTGGGTAAGAGACATTGAAGGACCGATAGATCGTACTCGATAAGTGAAGATAAGGCTCTTACCCGGTAAGCACTTAGTGAGTAAAAGCTTATCAACAATCCATTTTGATGGACAAAAAAGATAACCGATAAGGTACGTGAATGTGGTAACTCTTGGAGGTAAGTACTTACTCCAGTGAGCATTTGGTAAACGATTTCTAAATATTTATTGGGTGTCATTTACCTAACGGAATGAGTATGATAAAGATCAAGAATCATACACAGTAAAATGCATATAAGTGAGGGTGAGTACTCTTACCCGGTTAGCGTTTAGGTGGAAAAATATGCTTCCGAACATCCATTTTGATAGGCCGACAATGTTACCGATAAGGTAAGTACAGGTGGTGACCATTTCCGATAAGTGTTATCATTCTAATGTGGACACTAAATTTGGTATAATGACGAGTAACACACAAATATTTATTTATACCAAATTTTTCACCAATTGGAGAAGATAAAAAGGAATATACCTAGAATATTACATTATGGTGTTACCTGTTGGAGGCTTGCACAAACTTTTTACACCAGTTTTTTATAGATTTGGTGTAAGATACGGTGTTACCCATTGGAGATGAATTGAGTTCGTTCAAGAATCACACTTTAGAATGTATGAACGATCGGTATAATACTTAGATACAAACTTATGTTTTCCTTTTTGATAATCATAAGTGTCGTGACCAATTTGTACATACTTCACCTAATTTTATAGACTATAAATTACACTTAGGGGTTGTTTGTTTACTTTTTAATAGTTCTATTAAAAGATAGTCTCTTAATGGTTATAAAACCATCTGAATGATTTTGTATCATGGGTCTCCCTTAACCATTCAACGCCATAATTTCGTTATAAATAATTACCAGACAATTGTATTTCAATTTGCACTACATCATGATAGCCTCTTAATCATTCTGACTACTTAGGTGGCGTTTGTTTTTTAAGAGGTGCTGAAATTTGAAGTCTGATTTCACTTCTGATTTATAAGAGGTGGTTCTAAAGTCTGAAATCTGGATCAGTAAAATTGTTTGTTTTTACATCTGAAGTCTGAAATCTGAATCAGTCAAACTAATGCAAAAATATAAAAGATAAATAGTTTTTTTTACAAAGGTATAAAATATAAATAGTTTTTGCTAACAAATCTCTTTCAACCCCCAAAATAAGAACCATTTAATAGAGGGCGTTTATTATTAAGAGGTATTAAGTGATATGTTTACCACTTATATTTCAGAGGACAATTAGAGCTTTTAAGCTCTTATTTTATAAATAAAACAAACGTTCTTAACATCCAAACGTCTGAACGAATCAGACTTCAAAGGTATTAAGAGATAATTTTGAAAAAACAAACAGACCCTTAATTATTCTGTACAAAACCATTCAACAACTGACATACACCTCCTTAAAAAATAACGCCCACAAAAATAACTAATATGTTGTTTTCTTGACATTTGAATGAAATCTTCTTTTTATTTGGTCATCTCGACTCAAACTAACGCGCTTTTTTGGAAAAGTGCCACCTTTTTTCCCGTATTGCCCTTTATAGAAATAACATTTATACTATTTAAAAGTAAAGATAAAGTTTGTGTACATTTAATCTTTTAAAACCGTACTTGTGTTATGTGTTGGATTTACTAGGGGTTGTTTGTTTTCTTCTTAATATTTTCATTAAGAGGCAACCTTTGAATTGTTAAGAGGTAAATCTTGTTTGACAAAAAAAAATCTGTCTCTTAATGGTTCTAAAACCCTCTGAATGATTTTGTATCCTGGATATCCCTTAACCATTAAGAGCCCTAATTTCAGTGTACACAATTACCAAACAATTATATTTCGTTTTACACTATATCATGAGAGTCTCATAATCATTCTGACCACTTAATCATTTTGCACCAAACAATTCAGCAATTGCCAAACAACCCCTGATTTGTTTGGTTTGGTTGTTTTTCCCTTATTAACCTCGTCTTTTTTCCCCACCGTGAGTTTTGGTTGTTTTAACCTATTGACCTTGTTTTTTCCCCAGAGTAAGTAATGATCAAATTAGCCATCTTGAATGAACATCTTCATTTTTAACCAACTTTTTTATGGTCGAACCAAAATAGTCAATATTTCGGAACTTACTTTATGAGTCTGGCGAGCCATTTTGCAAGCTGCTGTACCTATTTCGCAGGCCGACACGAAAATTTTGCCACTTAATTCAGAAAACGTATATTTTGAAAGTTGCAATATTGACAATTACGAAATCTTGTCTATTTTGATCAAATTAAAGGGAAAAAATAAGCTAAAAGTTAAAAAATAGTCCAAAATAACGAGTCTAATCCATTTCCCGGTCTTTAAAAATTACACTAAGGATTGTTTTAAAAAAGAAAATGGCAAATTACATGAAAAAATAACAAACGAATTTTCAAAACTTTCATTTTGGTATCTAAGATGTAAAGTTTTAAATATTTAAGTATCTGGTTAACCGATTGAAGGATTAACTGTTTACCATAACCCAATATTATTTGCTCACATGGATTAGTTTTTATGTATTATGGTTTATTAGAATAAAGAGTTATTGCTTCAACCGGTTACCCAGGTACTTAAACTTTACGTCTTATATATCAAAATAGAAGTTCAGAAAATACATTACCAAAAATAAGAATCAAGTTAAAGTACATTACTTTTTTAATGTAATTTACGCATAAGAAAATTAATAATAATAAAGGTTTGAATTTTTGTATATTATATAAAAATATATACCAAGTGATTATATTTTATTTATTATCAATTTTCGTAAAGGTATTTAAATTTATATATCTGTACTATATTATAAAGTATTTGATAAAATTCTTAAAAACTTTTTTTTTATACATGAAGTATTGTATATTGATGTATATTACTTAAAATTCAAAGATTACAAGTAAATTGTATATAAGTACAACTTATTAAAGCTGTATGTTTGAATTCGTGTAACTAACTGCGGATAAACA